CGGATATATGACGTCAGGATGGCGCAATTTGTTCTAAAAATAGAAAAATTGTCCCATATCATAGGTGCCGATTATGGCTCCTGGTTAAACAGAATGTGTTGGTTTAGTTAACTTAGTTGATTGTTTGGATCATATTCATGGTAAGATGCCTAAGTTACTGGAACAGTATGAGTTCATACACAAATGTTCAATACTATTGTTTTGAATCAGCAGAAATAAAAGAAAGCGGGGGCAGATTTAGTGATAACTATTACTAGTATATTTCTAGTCAAATAAAAAAAAAAAAAAGCAAGCTAGTCTTGAGCAGTACAAGACCGAAGGATTCAAGCAGAGCTCGAGAATGCGTCATTGCAAAACATGTACTCCTTAGCAACCGTTCTCGTGGATTTGCACACGTGCCTTTCCGTGACTTAGCGCATGTATCGCTATGTAAATCGCCCTGAGGCTTAAAAAGACCTACCTTGGAGAGAACCGATTTCTGTCTTGAGACTCCGGCATGTGTTGCAAAATTCGTTCATTGGTAACGATTTTATATATTTTACAGGTCGTGGTCGTCTTCGAGACGTTCACCTTATTATCGATTACTGCATAATTTGCACTTTTGAATAGATATGATCTGATATATTCATTCCTTTGCTTTTAGAATTGAACCTCTTCATCCGTGACACTTCTCCCTATAGCCGTCATCACTAAATTTAATCATCAAAGACATGAAAGTTTCACCGTCAATCATTGATCAGAGAGCTGTGCCTTGAAATGCCAACACTTGTCCAAGGTCGGTAACGCTTTAATTTAAAGTAAGATCTTCTTATGTCTTATATAAGTTATGGCATGCTCTATAGCAGACCACAGATTAATTTACGCCTCATTAAACTGAGCTCTCAAGAGTAGTTCGATTACCAGAAAATTACGTGATTGAAAACAATCTATGATCAGGACTGATTCTTGTAAAGAACAGATTGTACTTGCTGCATCGCACAATTGTATTGAAACAGGATGAAGAAGAGATTGCACTTGTTGCATCGCACAATTGCCCAAAATCATCAATCTCGATCAAACGGATATGTAAAAGGCCGCTATATAGGCGAGAACATCATATTGATTCAAGATGTCATGTTTCTCACTAAAAGCTTTAATATGCCAGGAATTGCATTTTTTCTTTTTTTGATTTTCGAAAAGCTTTTGACACAATAAAATGGAACTATCTATTATCCAGGCTTAGACTGTTCAATTTTGGCCCTGCAACTCATGTAGAACCAAGTGGTCTTAAGAGATCTTGGAACAAGTAAATTGACTATCACTATTCAAATTATCCGTTCACTCGTAGCCTGGGAACCGACTCCGCGTTGGGTTGATTGGTTTATTGCGAACTAGCGTGTGGTCTAGGGCGAGCGGAGGAGCCGGAGCCGAATAGTGACGAGGGGGAGCACAATTCGCGGAATTCCGCGAATTGTGCTCCCCTCGTCACTTTTTTCAATTGCATCGAGGCGTCCGGCAAGGATGCCCCTTATCGGGCCTTCTTTTTGTAATTGGTATTGAGCTTTTCGCAAGGGCATTTAAAAGTAACAATGACATCAAAGGTATTGCTGTTGGCGGAAAGGAAATAAAAGTCACCCAATTCGCCGATGATACAACAGTGTTTTTTAGCGGCCATCAGTCTGTTATTAACCTTTTGAAGCTCCTACGTGAATTTAAACACACCTCCGACCAAGAAATAAATGCAAGCAAAACAGAGGCGATGTGGCTTGGAGCCTGGAGAAACAAAACTGATATTCCATATATATTTAAATGGCTTCAAGAACCGATTCAAGCTCTCGGCATTTTCTTTTCGTATAATTCCGACGCTGCAAATAATCTGAATTTTGGACAGAAAATTATCAAACTGAAAAATACGCTTAAAAATTGGAAAAGAAGGAAGCTTACCCTCCATGGCAGAATCAGAATAGTGAAAACTCCAGGTTTGTCAAAGCTAATTTATAACACCTCTGTGATCGAGATCCCCGATTCTTTCGTCAAAGAAATAAACAAACTAACTTTCAATTTTATATGGGAAGTAAAACCAGCCAAAATAAAAGGAAAGACCATAATAAGTGACATAAGTCAAGGAGGGTTGAGAATGATGGATTTTGAAGTCATGCCGAATAAAGCGCTGAAAATTGCTCGGATAAAGAGAATCACCGAACACGTCCACCCAGCATGGAAAATAATACCAGAGGTCGCCGCTGCCAAATATGGCGGTTTATCTTTTCTAACAGAATGTCAGTAGGATATCAAACATCTCAGCCCCGATAACCTTCCACCTTTTTACCACACTACTTAAGAGTTGGCAAAAATACAACGCTGACAAATTTTCGGAGGACTACCGTATTCAAAACAAAATCATCTGGAATAATAGTCGCATCCTGATTGGAGACCGACCAGTTTTTTTTCAAACCCTTATTTGAAGCTCAGATTATACGTATTAAACAATTTTTAAAAGAAGATAGCACCTTCCTCTCACTGGACGAGCTCACTCGCAAAATGAACATCAATATTCCGTTTACACTGTACTATGGCCTTATCGCTGCCATTCCTACAGAATGGAAGAAATTTGCGCCAAAACGCTCCTCTTGAGGACTTTCCGTCGACCCGCGTGGCCTACGCTACACTTCTAGGTAACAACGTAAGTCCACCGACACCAGAGAATAGAATTCTAAATTACGGTTTGTCCAAAGAAAGCATCCACAAAGTGTACTTGTTGCCTCTCTTAATAACCATAGATTCGAAATTTTTTTCCCTTTCAGTTTAAAATAATACACCACATTTTACCTACCAAATTCAGCCTTTTTGGAGCTGGCGTTACTGAAAGAGACATTTTTTCCTTATGCGCCAATGAAAAATTAACAATAAACCACCTACTGTACCACTGTACTGTATCTAAGGCTTTCTGGGATAGATTCACCAACTAGTGGTACCAGAAATTTAAACAAGTGGCAATTGTGACTGAATCTAACATCCTATACGGTTGGCATAATAACATCAAAAATAAACAGGCATTTAATGTCACTCTTCTTATTGAAAACTTCTATATCTTCTTGACAAGTTCATGTGATGGCAACTTACGTTTTGAAGGCTTTTTTCTCCGCCTCCAAGACAAACTTGATATTTTAAAGCAAAGTTAAACGGCCCAAACGGCCCAGCTGCATAAATTCTTGAACATCTGGGGAAAATTACTATAAATTTCACTCGGCTTCGTCCTTTTCTTTTCACTCTCTCTTATTGTAACTC